ACAAACATGCCGTGACTGTAGCCCATAGAATTGTCATCGCAAATCATCTGATACCGGGTAACTTGGGAAAAAAACGCAAAACCAGTACACTCTACTAATAAAAAATTCTAATAAACATGCAACTAAGCACAGGCTTCCGGGCAAATAAAACATAAAAATATATCCTATTTTCATAGGGCGGGAGTATGGGGTAGGGGGTTCCCACCCCTGGCTGCGCAAAAACCCAAAAACATCGAAATGAAAATGAGTATAACGGGGGAGGGAGGCGCGCCTATGTGTTGGTAATTCATTTTTAACATTACACTTGTGTGTGTTTTAAAGTACAGTCAGTATGAAGAATTGTTTGATATTGTCGTAATGAGCTGATGCTGGACGGAAATGGGAAAATGTGTATTTATTATTTCCTTGATTAGGTTTTGTTGAATTTTTGTGCTGTCTCGCGGCGACCATTTTGTGGTTTACGTTTTGTGTACCAAATTCTGAAGTGTATTTTTATGGGAATATTTTTTACGAAAATTATTTATAATCTGTGATAGATATGGAATAAATTAGTTGGTTGTGTATAATATCTAATTGGTACAATGACTATTTATAAAATTAATCTCATTATCTGCAATAAAACACAAATCCAATCCAAAATTTAATTCAATATGGAAGCTCTCTAAATTTATCAGAATATAGGTAACAAAAAGTTTTATATATATCCAAAGCATATTCATTCTCGTAACCCCAAACTAATCAATTAATTTAAAAAAAGAATATATTGGTACAGAAGTTTATAAATAAATTGCAATTTTCAATCTGTGGTTCTTTTTCTCTCTTTCTTTACATCTCACTTTCTCTCTCACACACACTCTCTCTAACAAGAAGTATGTTCAATACGAACTACCGTTATTTTTTAATTTATAACCAAAATTTTTGGTTTTTATTTCGGATTATAACATTTTAAATTCAAATTATTTATAATTTCGTTTTATTATTCTAAATAATATATGTGATAGTGTGTGTTCTCTGTATCGTTATGTTTTCTAATATTATTATGTAGTATTGATACATGGGCGGTCGGATTGCCACCTGTTAGATTAGGTACGCCAATACTGCGTGTGTTATATTCAAATTCTACGAATACCTATGTACTAGGCAAATATGACGAGCTGTTGTTATTAAATATCATATATTTACAATTACTATTAAGCACATAAATGTTTGTAATTAGCTTAATTTAACGAATTATTTATCAATGTTGGTTAGTTAATATTTTTCTTTGCATTACTGCCTGCATTTGAATAACTTATTATTTTATATTAAAGTTTAATGATGTAATTTTAAATTTTCTAATCAGCCTGCTGCGGCAGACTGTACCCCGCGAGTTCGCATTGTGCTCCCCTACACACATCTACACTAGCATCAACATAAAACGCAATTTTGTATTAGATTTAATTTGAGCCGTGAGTGTGTGCGTGTGTGCGTGCCTGTGTGTGGGTACGGAAGTGCTTGCTTCCTACGCACAAATTGATTACGATCGTCGTCGAAAAGAGGAATTTGCATATACGTGAAACCTCTTTTTTCTCTTTCCATTTGAAAAAAATCAATCCATCTAACGCTACGTCGCATTAATTTCCCGCGAATTTATTTATTCCTATCTTCCGGGTGCTGGTCCGTAGTGGCAGCTTGCCGGGAGTTAGCATCGTGATTGGGACTAGTGGCAGGCTACGAGCTACGGGCTACTGCTACGGGCGCACGCTTGAACTTGGCAAGTTCTTAGCGAGTGCGCGGAGTAAGTGCATGCGTGATAGTTGTGGGGCATAGTGCGGTGCAGGGAGCGGCGAGGTGCAGTCGCGGCCTCCGCCCGCCGCGGCGCCGCGCCGAATGAGCGCCCGATTTAAAAACTATACGGACGAACCCGCGCAGCGAAGCCCCGTAATACCACCCCCCGCGTAATGATTTTTTGGCGATGAATTTATATTCGCGCGCGAGCGGTGCCACTTTTTCGACCCCCCCACGAACCCCCTACCCCCGCTCATTAACGCAACCCAGATATGCAATTCTGATCTTTGACGAGGAGGCTGTAGTGTCGGCGGGCGCCTCGCCGGGAGAGGTGCCCCGTTTTGTTTTTTCCCGCCCGGCTTCATTATTGATGGCATCGGGACGGTAATGCGGAAGCATGTGTGAACGTTTCATTACAAAAGGTGGACGCGGCTCGTGTTAATATTGCAGACCGGCCGGACCCGACCGGACGGGTGGACGCCTCGGAAAAAAAAACTTTTACTCACTAAAAAAAATTAAAATTAACAGCCGCAATTAAATTTGGGAATTTAGGGTTCGGTCTTAAGAAAAATAAAGTATAGTAAAGTTAGTGCGGGCGCGCGGCGCGGAACTATCGGGACGCGTGTCGGGGAAAGTTTCAGTCGAACTTGGAGCAAAGTTTCGTCACGTGCGTGTGTGGCCATCGGACCGGTCGCCTGACGGATTGGCCGGCCGGTCGCCGGTCGCCGCTCGCCGCTCGTAAACTCGCCAAATTCTATCCCAATTTTACTATTTGAATAGTTTTTATTGGTGCATATTTTGTCAACACTCGGATTAAGTTTGTTTATTTGTCTGTCGTGTTCTGTTACCGGACTTTGCTACTCATATAGTGACTTTGTTGAAGTTTTGTTGATTGTTTTTGTTGAGTTACATTTCTGTGCTCTCGACGGCCGACGATAGAAAAGGTAAGTCACACGATTCTTTCTTTGACGCATTATTTATTGTTAAAAGTACGACAGTCCGTTTATTTTCTCACATTCTGGTGTTAATTTATTCGTTTCAAAATGCGGAAGTGACTAAAAAAGTCGTCAAAAAGTTTTTAAAGTGACAGAAATGTAAAAATATTTTTATTAAGTTGAAGAATTAGCATTTTGTAGAATATAATAATGGTGTGGAAGATACTCTGATTTTAATATGTTCACAATTAGTGACCCTCTGACTGTCGCGGTATTATTATGTAAATACGAATTAGTGGATGCAGGGGCTAGCTGGGCTGCAGGCGACGCCAGAGCTCGGACTTAGATAAATCTTGCATAAATAATTACGATCGGTAAAGAATTGCATCCACCGTTGACCTTACAATTGTTCCATCTATAACAAGTTCCCGACTCACACAATTTTGCGAAACGGACTTTTGTACTTTTATATTACGTCTTGGTATTATTTGTTTAGTTCAAAATTTTATTTTAATTCACTTTTTTATATTTTTCAAAGCGGAGAAATGTGTTTTTTATTTTCTTACTTTTATTATTTAGCAAATATAAATTTATTTTTGTAAGACGCGTTTGAATAAATCTAAAATAAATAGAACGCATTTGGAAGAAAAGTTTAACTCTTTTTAATTTCTATTTCTTATTATTTTAAATTATTATTTTTATCAATTTATTTATTATAACAAATAATGATGTCTGCCACGCTATGCCTAGTCATATATTGACCTAGAACTTCTCGGCGAAAACTAGAACTATCACGAATGTTATCTTATCACTAAAACAAATTATCTATCTGTGTCACCAAAAACTATTATTGGTCTAGCACAATTTTTGCATATGGCAAATTACTATCTTTAAATACAATACAATATAATAACTTACTAAAGTTATTATTTAAAATCTCATTTGTTGATAGTTCTGCTTATCCGTTTGGTACAAGGAGGAAAAACTCACTACGGAAATGATTGACATTATTTTAGCAAATATTGCCAAAGTATTGTAATAGCTAACGTAACGTCAAATTTAAGAAATAAATTAAATCGTATACTGATTTCTTACTTAAAATGTACTTAGTTACTTAGTTATCAATCAGAAAAAGTGGGACCAACCCTTTCAATTTTAATGTCTTAAAAAAATTGTAGAAATTATTAATAATACTTCTAAAATAAAAATAATAAAATAGGAACGTTAACTAAAACAAATCACAAACGTTCTAAATTCGCAATTTAAAAAAAATAAATTTCAAAATCAGAACATCAACCCTTTTTAACCGCCAAAATGTGTTGCCATTATCTAAAATAATAACACTGGCCGGCTAGAAAGCCGTTTGTGACGGCCATTCGTCTAAGCATCTCCCTCTAGCAATTCCCACAATGTTGCAACTTGAGGTCTGATCTCGCATCGAGCTAGCTGCAAGCTTGCAAACACCCCTTTTTGATCCCGACACCATTGTATCGTACAAAAAGGACCATAGATTAGGTGAATCAGGTTTTCAAAACGTCTACACTATTGTTGGACGACGAAATATTAATTAATTTGCAGTTACATTGCTGTTGACCTGGACTCTTCTGAATTTTAATTAACGATGTCCTCACTATCTGAATGGGAGAATTTGTTCTTTATTTTTTAGTTTTCGTAGGTACAGCTCTACGATTTATTGCAGAAGCAGAAAGCTGGGAAGATTATGTTAAGGTATTTTAAACTTAATATTTAAACACCGCAACTCGCAACTTAACTCGTAATCAAATTACAAAATTATTTTTATTTAAAATTTTAACTCGACTGTCTTATCTAGTTCTAATTTGACTATTAAAAAGTTAGACAAAACTTTTTCATTCAATCTTACACACTAATGCAACTATTTAACGAACACAACAAAAAATTGCGTAGCATCTCATTTTTCTAAGATAACGGCGACGATAAATTTATCTAAGTTGCCTACACTCAGTGCTCGGCCAATAATCTATTCAGACAGTCCATCGATTTAGTCTACCTAGGCATTCGTACACAAAATGCCAGACTAGGAAAAAAGTAAAAAAAGCGGTGACAGACTCATTCCGTCCGCCGTCTCCTTTCTAATCGCGCCCCCACACGCACGCGCGGCTTTTTAATTGCATCCCCCCACCCCCACCCCGGAAAAAAGGGCGAAGCACACGATGGATTAGCATACAACCTCAGCGAGAGAACGCGGAGCGCACCCCTTCAGTTTTTGCGTGTCGGATCCCGCCATATTTTTCGCGGTTGTATTTTTTCGGGGGGGCGCGGGGAGCATGGATGTTGCGTGCGCGCCGCGCCAGTCGGCTGGCTGCCGGCGACCGCGCGATGTGCATAAACCCGTCCGCGATACATAACAACATACTCCACTCTCGGGACGTGATCGGACTCAAGTCACTACTTTTTTATTTATACGAAATAAACTGTGACCAAAGTGTTGTGCTGTGAGGATTTATTACAATAATTTTATATTTAATTCGGTAAGTTTTTCTAGATTGCCTAGTTATCAATATGACGTTAGGACTAGCAAAATTTGGCGATAGCTGGGAGCAAGGTCGTGGCATACAGATAAATTTATTTGCACAAAAAAATGTGTTAGACTTATACGGATAACCTCATTTCGGAACAATGCGCGTTCTTGTGTTAAAATATGTTTCATTTTGAATTATTTCAATTTATCGTTTTCGTTATAAACGCTTTTATCTCATAAATTATGCCTTCTTTCACGGAGAACCTAAATTCTTGACGGCAACTTTTGAAAACTATTTTGAGATGCGAAATACTTCGCGTCAGGAATTTTAGGGTATTACATTTTTTCCTGTTAGTATTTTAATTAGGATCAAATTGATTTTGTCTATTTTTAATGGAAAGATGATTGATTAAAGTTATTATAGATAATTTGAAAATGACGTCGAACTAAGTAATCGCTTAATTAGATTAGACTCGATACTGTTTTGTAATATAGCTGTTGATAGAAAATTAAGTCGCACCCATTTTTAACAAAACTGGAATTTTAAACGAAATATACGTTACATAAGTTACAACTTTATAAGAAACTTCGATACAATAACGAATTTCTAAACATAACAAGTTAAAAACCTAATCGCTATTATAAACTTCCAATTCTTTCTAACCTAACTTAAAAAATGTTTAAACTCTAAATTGGCCTGAAATCTGTAACATAGCTTAACGTTGATATAATATAATAATAATAATAATAATTATATAAAGCTTCAAAAAGAGCTTTACCATTTTATCCTCGTTATAAAATAATAAAAACAAATTATTCTCACTTTTCCTGGTAAAATTACAACATGGACTTTCTTGAAATCATAAATTAACTGTGCGAAGTATTTTTCTCATTATCAATAAATAACTGCAATATGTGTTCACTTATACAAGTGCATTCAACTTAAGTGCATTTAAAAATAGTTCTAATGCAAGCTAAACCGATAATGTATTAGTCATTTGACAATTATTATTAATAATGTCAATTAGCTATAAAAGTGACGCTAAAAGGGCAAAGACCTAAGGTTCTAGACAAAAGGTAAAATTTTACATGCCACTGGTAGTTTTAGATTTATTTTACAATTCACAATTTGTTTAGACTTATTAGTTTCCAAAATAGGATTATGTTGCCTATAGTTTCAAACATTAATTCAATATAATAATATTTCTAAAATTTAGATTATTAATTTATAAAATAAAATAATATGGCACATTTATAATGACGTTTAATTTGTGATTAGGTAAATTTGTTTCTATTGTTACACGTTTAGGATATTAATTCCGGCAGTTTTATAGTGATAAATAAATTATTAAATTTATTATTTTTATTTTATATATTATTATTATTTGAATAAACATTAATATATTAACGTTTCATTTTCTAACTAGATTTAGCAACTTATCAAGTTTAGTTAAATGCGACGGACAGTTTAAGCCATGTGACTACAGTTGTCACCAGTTTCCCGCGAAATACTGAGCCCTGAAATTATATAACACTTTCACAATTGCTTTTAATCCATTTTGGAACACAATTTTTTATCTAAATTAGCTTTTAAGTTTTTTAACATTATACGGATTAGGTTAATCAAGAATTGAAGATATATTCTTACTATTACGCTAAATCTCATTATAGTAAAATGAAATATGATTTGGCATTAATTCCACCTAACTTATTTTACTTTTGTAGTTAAATTTAAATTTTAACTTATATAAATGAAACTATAAATAAATATAAAAACTTATAAAATTGCAAATCTTAAAACTTACTTCTCTTCTTCTTAAAACTTACAATAGTTATTTTTTCCCAATGGATATTACTAATTAGTGTTATGTTGTGTTTCTTGTTGAGTTTCTATGAAATTCTAATTTACTACTTCGTCGAAAAGTTATGAAAAAATTAAAGTATAATTTTTTCTCTAGTTTAATTGCATAGTCATCACTGTTACACCTAGACATCAAAATATAACAAATCTAAAAATATATCCTGAAAAAAAATTTTTGTGTCTTAAACTTATACTAAAAATACGAATACTTAATAAGCAAAAAAATATATATATGTATCTAAATAAAAATAGTAAAACCATTCGTTATGAAACCATTTGGTTTGACCTATTTCATTGAACAAAATTGCACGTGTAAGTAAGTACGCTAGATAAAATAACTTCGCAGTTTAGTTAACTTATCTTATAAACTAAAATGACGAAATAAAAAGCTACAAAAAATTTAAATATCCCTTTATAATAAATTAGTATACTAATTTTCTAATTAATACATACCTAGTATTACAAAATTACTTGATTTAAGTAAGTATTTAAATTTAGGTATTAGTCATTGTAATAGTGTTTAAAATTTTTCCTGTTCCTAACGAAAATAATAGGTAAAATACCTGATTATGTATTGAACACAAATTTACAAATCTAACTTAAGACCTAAATCTAAAAATAAAATAATTATAAAAATGTTAAAACTAAAATAAAATCTGGCGTAAAAATTCTTAGTTATTTTTATTTTATTCTAAATTTTATTTCCAAATTCAAATTCAAATTTATTGTTCTCCTGCAGGGCACAGATTTAGGTATACACTGTGTAATTGATAAACAAGCGTAGCCTCGTCCTTGGTGAGGTCAATAACGCTTAGGCCTGGCTAGATAATAGTTCATTTAGAACAATACTAGCTATAGACTTAGTCACTTTGTAAATAAGGATAGTTTTTGCATAAATTACTCATTTATTTTAAACTTTAACTACGTTTTGTAGTTCTTTTTAATAATATATATTCTACAAATGTAAGCCAATAGGAAATATTTTATATTCATTAATTATCAAATACTTTACGATTATAATCATGCGATTATCATCAAAAAGACTACCCATGTATTCCAAAAAAAAGTGCATTTTGTTATAAGCAAGTTAAAAAAAACTACTATTTAACAAATCTAACCTTGCATATAAAGATCAATCTTGAACACTACAATTCATAAAACAGCTCTATTCCAAAAACATAATAAACGTCACAATCCCATAACAAAACTTATAAAATGTTGTACTAATTTACTAAAACTAAAAAGTGACATAATTAAATAAAATTTCACAAACAAAGCCGTCGGCTGAGTGACGTATAAATCAAGTATGGCGGCTACAAAATTATTTGTTGACATGACATAATACTTCACTATCCATCTTTGACAACTAACCAATTAAATATTAAGTTTCAATTTATTCAACCTATTGAACTAATTACTTCATAAGAGTTTATTATAGAGTATAATTTTGGATGTGAATTATACTTTGTTTTTAGTTTATTACCTATAAAAAAAATTGGAAGATATATTCACTGAGTTTGTGTCGTTGGCTTTGATCTGAATGAGTAAATTATAATTTTATTATGACCAATAACGAATTGAAAGCATCCTATTTTCGTTTTAACGTCATATGACAAAATACATTGTTGAGGCATGTATAAATAAATACATAAATAAATCTATGCATGTATATATAAGTACCGTTGTATTTACCTACGATGCTTACTTACTATAAATATTTTTTATTTTCCTTCAAAGAAAATTATGTAAATGTAACACCAAAATGCAGTTACAAAATTTCACCATACAGGATAAACTTAAAAAACTAACACTTATACATTCATATTAAATATATCCTGACCTATTATTATTAGAAAGAAAATTATGTAATATTATGACATATAACCAAAGTTTTTATTACAATTTCTATAACGATGAGAATCAGAAATTCTTATAAACAAGTAATTACTCACAATTTTTTTAGTAATTAACTAACAATTACCTTAAATTAAGAATTATATTAATATTGATACAATATCATCTAGGTATACATACATAGTTTAATTCGTTAATAGTAGGTATAGAATGTTTTTTTTCTTCTAAAGACATTTTAATAAAAATAACAATTGGCTTAACAATAATGTATAAAATGCAAAAAAAAATCATTTTTATAAATAACATTATAAATAAAGAATAATTAAATAAAAAATCTCGGTTTATGGATTTATAAATTTTATATAAGTGATGACTAAAAAAACGTTTCCTATGATTTTCGTCTCAGCGTGATAATATTTACATTTCGGTCGCGTTCGTTTTGCCAACTTCTGACAGTAACACGAGCCAAGTTTATTATAGCCGACATCTACTCAACTACTAATCGATTTTATTATAATTCTCTATCAAATTTTACTTCTCATGTCCTTAAGATCATATGAGATAATTTAAAAAAAAACTTTCAATCTTTCTCACAGAAACAATTTTTTAATCATGCTCATTTTATGACAAAAAATATATATTAGAAAACATGAGTATCAATAATAATTTCATAAAGAGAAATGATCTTTTTAATAACAAAATAAAAACCATATTTTAGTTTTTTTTATTAATTACAACTTTGCACCACATTAGGTTTTTCTCCTTCATCGTAGAAGCGAAATGAAAAAATAATTAAACACAAAACAACGTTAAAATTTTGGATGAAAAAAACAGTTGTAATGTGTGAAATACCAAATCAATTTATAGGAACTCCACTACTTATAAACTCCCCAACCACACATAGGGGAGCTAGTTCATTCTAGGTACTCTAGATAGACTCCACAGGTAGTCTTGACATAGTACTACCTACGTACGTTCAGGCAACCTGCGCGCTATTAAGGGTGATAATCTGCGTCACTAGCCCGAAGGTTAGCCTTGTCACCTAACCGCTCCACTGGCTATGAATCGTATCTTTTTAGCCTATTTATGGATAGGTAGACAACCTCCCAAATTATAGCCTAAATCTGTAAACAAAATTAATTAACGTTGTAGTATTTTTTGAGGAAGTAAATTGATAATGTTTTAACGTTTGATGACTTGATAGTTTTTTTTTTAACTTTGATTTTGTTGATATTAAAGGAAATAATAAACGTTTGGCTATAAAAATAAAAAAAATCATTTATCTTACAATAAAT